ACACCCCACGTGGCAGTCAGATATATAGACGGGAGACACCCCACGTGGCAGTCAGACATATAGACGGGAGACATCCCACGTGGCAGTCAGACATATAGAAGGGAGTCATCCCATGTGGCAGTCAGACATATAGACGGGAGACACCCAACGTGGCAGTCAGACATGTAGAAGGGAGTCATCCCAGGTGGCAGTCAAACAGGTAGACGGGAGACATCCCACGTGGCAATCAGACATATAGACGGGAGACACCCCACGTGGCAGTCAGACATATAGACGGGAGACACCCCACGTGGCAGTCAGACATATAGACGGGAGACACCCCACGTGGCAGTCAGACATATAGACGGGAGACACCCCACGTGGCAGTCAGACATATAGACGGGAGACACCCCACGTGGCAGTCAGACATATAGAAGGGAGTCATCCCAGGTGGCAGTCAGACATATAGACGGGAGACACACCACGTGGCAGTCAGACATATAGACGGGAGACACCCAACGTGGCAGTCAGACATATAGGAGGGATACACCGCACGTGGCAGTCAGATATATAGACGGGAGACACCCCACGTGGCAGTCAGACATATAGACGGGAGACATCCCACGTGGCAGTCAGACATATAGAAGGGAGTCATCCCATGTGGCAGTCAGACATATAGACGGGAGACACCCAACGTGGCAGTCAGACATGTAGAAGGGAGTCATCCCAGGTGGCAGTCAAACAGGTAGACGGGAGACATCCCACGTGGCAGTCAGACATATAGACGGGAGACACCCCACGTGGCAGTCAGACATATAGACGGGAGACACACCACGTGGCAGTCAGACATATAGACGGGAGACACCCAACGTGGCAGTCAGACATATAGGAGGGATACACCCCACGTGGCAGTCAGACATATAGACGGGAGACACCCCACGTGGCAGTCAGACATATAGACGGGAGACATCCCACGTGGCAGTCAAACAGGTAGACGGGAGTCATCCCACGTGGCAGTCAAACAGGTAGACGGGAGACATCCCACGTGGCAGTCAGACATATAGAAGGGAGTCATCCCATGTGGCAGTCAGACATATAGACGGGAGACACCCCACGTGGCAGTCAGACAGGTAGACGGGAGTCATCCCACGTGGCAGTCAAACAGGTAGACGGGAGTCACCCCACGTGTCAGTCAGACCGGTAGACAGGCGTCATCCTCGCAGAGGAGAAGACATTCTGACAAACTTGAAAGTTTACGTCTCCGTCAGAGCGAAATCAACAAGGGTCAGGCGTTACACGTCAATCACAAAAATCCACCCGTGCTCCTGTTTTATGTAATCATCTGTTTTTTAACCGAAGTACATCGACTAAAGGCTCACAACCCCAGCACAACCCGTCGAGCACCTGTCCGGCCTGGCTTTTATCGAAGGTTATAGTTGTGTATACTGTGTTATCATTTCCGATCAAACAACGTTTTATTTTATTTGAGGAATTTCATTATGCCCAGATCAATGGGTTTAAATTACACCGCTCACTTAACCTGTTTTTTAAGGGGGATAGTTGGTGTTTGTTTTTAACAAATGTGCATATATGAGTATAAATGAATCCTGACTTCTATGCTGGCATGTTTTAGAAATATATGAATTATGTAATATTTAAATATAAACTTCATGAGAACATGTTAATTTCCATGAAATGGGCCGGGAATCGAACCTAGGTCTTCGGTGTGACGAGAGCCCCTCCCTTAGTGTGAGGTGAGGTGAAATGGGCTTTACTGTCGCGTTCAAGATTACTGCACTTATTTAGCGACGTGGTTTGGGGGGGGGGGGGGGGGGGGGGGGGGGGGCTAGAGGGGGTCAATTGTGAAATGACCGCGAATTAAAAAACGACGAAATACATGTTCCTTGATAAGAACGCACACCTCGAGTGCATCACAAATTACAACCGTTAGAAGCAACATGCCTGACAGGTGACTTAATTAATGAATTCCTTGATGCAGTATTAATTACACTGTAATTAACCTATACACATTCAAGGGTGTCGTCAAACTCGCAGATAACCTCCTGACCTTCTGTCTTATCACGTGGTGCATACTTGTCTGTCAATTTCACGTGGGGAATATCGCACGTGCAAGGCCGCGCGAGATGACTTGATGGTGATCAGGTGAAATTGTTCCGTGCACTTGTCAGTTTCATTAGCGTGTGGAAGCATCTCGCGGGTGCTGCCGCTGTTGACAGTCAGGGTGGACGGTGAGACAATTAGAAGCAAACACAAACAAGTACACACACAATAACACGTTTAATAGAATACTGGTCCATTTCTCAGTCAATGCAAACATATTGACTTCAAGCAGCTGGTTACGCAAGTGTTTGCCGGTGTAGGTAAATACTCTCTTTAACCTTCGCGGGAAAGTGTTACCATTTAGGTGTTGATTTAAGAACAAATGCGACAAAACTCTACATGTTGGTGTTAAATATGTGGATGGCGGGGTTATGAAAATAGCCATTCTTCCAACACGAAACCTTGACATTCCTGTCATACAAAAAACAAATGCCGTCATATCAGAGACGGAACCACGCGTTTTTCTAAAAATGGGGGGGGGGGGGGGGGGGGGGGGGGGAGGGTGTGTGTGTGTGTGTGTGTGCGCGCGTACTTCAACCTTATCACATGGCCATAAGAGGTTGCCGTAGACTGAAACGTTAGCTGTCTAAAACAGTCACAGTAAGGGGGTAATATTTTATTTTATTCCTTAAAATCCAAGACCAATAATAATAATTATGTAATGTCTAAGAGTTAGCAAAGACTCACCTCGCCTCGGTGGCGTAGAACTACCCCTATCACACCCGTCCACCCCTTTAACTTGTATTTTAGTGGTCCCCCGTCTCGATCCCCACCCCCGTACCCAGGCGTGTCAGCGAGGATCGACTGTACCGGGTGTCAAACAGTCAACGCAAGCGAAGAATAGAGCTGAAGGCTGTATAATGAGGAGCTTTTAGTACCGCGGTGATAAAATGTGTCGACATCGTACAACCAGCTCCACTGACATAAGTACAATTTCAACTCTGAAGCAAATGATTACTCTGCACTTACCCAGGCACTCGAGCAGCCAACACCCGCTTGTCAGTTGGGGATTTATTTATCTAAGTTTTTAATTTTGTAGTCGCAAACCTTTAATTGCCCTCTTCCAGTGTGGAGAGTGGTTAGCGTGTGAGAATAATAACACTGTTAATATCAATTTATGGTGGTATGGTGTTGCTGGATTCCGAATGCAGGCAGCAGAGTCCGCTCCTCACAATCTGTGATACCTCAGCAACCTGGCTTAAATCAAGGCAAGAATACACGATGGGGCACTTGACTAATATATAGGCAGCCCTGAAATACAATAATGTGTTAAATAATAAATTAAATGTGTTAAATACAATTAAGTTAAATGATATTGATGCTATATGGAAACCCTTGAGCATTGAGGGCATTAAGGAACCCTCAAGTCTATTAGTTTTCGGGAGTCGGATGAGTAAATGATACAGAGGTAGAATCTATTTATTTTGTATTTTGTAGATATATATATTTTTTATATAAAATAACGATGTTTCTGGGACTAAATGTTTTTCTACATAGGCATAGCGATTCGCTGTTATTAGTTGTGTACCTTAGTCGCACCAGGATCCGATGACCTTGGGTTCGAATCTATGGTCGAGACTGGATAGTACGGACCATATTTGTGATACTACAATATACTAGTCACCGTTTACTGTGATAATTTATAGCATCCATTTTGGAATAAGTGAGAGTCATTCGCTTTTAATGTATTTTTGGTTTGACGCGGCAGGGGATCGAACCGCCGACCTTCCGTTCTCCGGGCAGGCGCTCTATCCACTAGACCACGGAGGCGGTCTCCGGACAGGCGCTCTATCCACTAGACCACGGAGGTGGTCTTCCTGAAAAAATATATGTTCTGAAAAAACTAAAAAGTGTTCCAAGAGAATATAACGGGTGAGCACAATGGCTGACTGCAATCAGCATTAAACCGGCATGTGAGAAGGCTGGTGTTTTACCAACTCAACGCTATTGTCTGAGCGGGCTCTTATCAGACATCACAGTACTGTGGCGGGTTGAGAGGGGAATGACAGACACATTACGGTAGACATAACGGTAGGTACTGGGGTGGCTGTGATAGAGTTTTACACACACATACTGCGATAAGAGAGAGCTGTAGTGAAGAACAATTATGGGAGGTGTGTATTTTTATTATTTATTTATTTTTATTTATTTTTTAACTGTTTTTTCTTTTTTCTTTTTTTTTCTTTTTTTTTTTTGGGGGGGGGGGGGGGGGATTTTTAGTTACTACGATACGTGTGTGTGTGTGAACACATGGAGGGGGTGCAGGAACAGGGAGGACGATAGGAGAGCAAACACTAGTCCCGGAGTAGCTCGTTAGGCCGCACTTGGTTCTGTCACGGCCGGATTCAACACGAAGACCGGAGAGAAAACTGCCTGGATGAATCAACAGAGATCTACACATACGGCGAGGACAGAGCAAACAGAGTTGGGCGCTTGAACCTGTAGCTGGAAACAGTGCTTAATGATACCACTGACTGGAACCAGTTTCTCAGGGTTGGATGTGGAAATCGTGCTATAAAACTACATTAAAAATGCACTTTTCTGCACTGGGTAATTTGATAATTGTAAGAAAATCGAGCTGCCATTCGCTTAATGCGAAATGTTAAGCCCAAAAGACAAATCACATTACGCTAATATTAATGGGAAGTGTCTAGCCCGACGAATTGATTCAGGAGTAAATAGAAACCAGAGAAAGGTACATGTTTTGTAATTTGGCCTCCCCCTATCCGTCTAACTGACGTGCTTTCCACCTCAAGCGAGCTAATGACAAAGGGCCAGTGAGATCTACCAATAAAATTCCATTTCCATCTGTCTGTCAAGTTTACATAGCGAGAAACAGCGAATTCCTATTGCAAGAAAAGTTCCGAGGGAGGAAAATAGACCAGCCTGGGAATCCGGTGTGTGGTTAGCGGAGGAGGAGAATGGAACAGCCTATTGTTGTGTAGGATGTAGGCGCTGATCGAGACTAGTGTGAGAAGTCAGTGCTTCAATCATGACCACGGATGTACAAGGACGTACTTTTACTCCAACATGAATTTACTCTGTTTTTCTGTGATTCTACTTGTTGCCTGCGCCGATTCCGAAGGTAAGATCAGGTGTTGGTACCCGCCACACACGCTTTCTTTGGACTCTCTTTGCTCGCGAAGCGATTCGGCGTTTTTGTAATGGCGGATTTGTTTATCATTGACGGCGCATAATATAGAGGGATATGTTCGCTTTGTTGCTAGTAATCCCCGTCGCCTGAATTGAATCGGGGACGTCACATTTGTAGTTTCTTTCTCTGACATTTTGTTGGCCCTAACTCTAGTTTCTGCAGCTGTTGCAGTCCGTTAGCAACGCTGTATCGGGACGACTGTTGTAGCGATATCACTCGGTTCCTGCAACCTTTCATGCAATGCCGATGTCTTTTTCTCACCAAACTTGTCAATTTCCACAACCACAATCGACTGACTGGCCGACATCCGCCGATCGTGTCCCCCTCAACGGCCTGGTATGTTTACTTCCGCGAATTGCGATCAAAATTGTCTTTCCCCAACCCAGCAATTTCAACGTGATTTGAGCTTGACATTACAGAGAGTGTGTGTAGACGAGCATGGCACCACAGCGTACAGCCTCTCACGCCGGTACCTGTAGGTTCAACAACGCCTTGCCCCCCTACCACACAGCCACACTGTGGCGATTGTTTTCCGATACACTGTCCAATATACAATTAACATTCATTAGTAAGCAATACTATATTTTCCCGAGGCAACGATTACACTGACAGACTATCTCGATAAACACGCGAATTAGCGTTCATTAGAAAGGTTCACAACCTATTCTTTCTTAATCAATCAAGCAAGCAGATTCGCCACATTCATTGAGTATACATACAATTAACTGTCATTAGTAAGTGATACTATCGTTTTCACTTTCAACAATTAAACTGCCAGACCATCTCCTCTAATATACAGACAATTAACATTCATTTGCGAGTGATGCTACTAATGATGCTTAATCAGATATGTCTTGTTTTTCAATACACTCACAAGTTAATTAGTTTAACAGATTGTGTAACATTCCAACCGATTAATTCTGTAATCCAGTAGTTTGGATGATTCAGATAATTTTTTGCAAGATGATAAGTAGTCTTGGGTGATCGGATCAAATCAGACTGGGAATTCAATGTTTAACTTTAAGGAATTTTGTAGAGTATTGATAATATCATACATGCTACTTGTATTCAAATGACAGCAAAGGCTTGTGATGTACATATTTTAAGGTATTGATAACTTCATGTTGAAATTACATTTTACACTCTTAAGTGGTATTGAGATTGATGCAACGGGTATTGCTACTTTAAGTTTATGAGCCAAAATACCGTGTTGTGCTTGAGACTGGTGTCCATTTGTCAGTGAACAAATACGCTCAAATTCAGACCTTAATGATTATTCAATATCACTCACCAAATTATTTAGCATGCAGGATTGCTGATGACTTACCTATTTCATGATGAAAAGAAATGGTCTTCTGTGTCATTAAAAAAAAAATATAATACGAAATATATAAATATAACACTACTAAATTTATGTTATGTTGTAGGTGGTCAGGCTTCTTTTTTTTTAAACATTAATTAATTCATTCAAAACTGTTATATTCCTCCAAAGAATTACATGGATGTTTTCATTTCTTTTTTAAAGGATTTTCATATATATTGGTCAGGCTTTGAAAGTTTTGGCTTTATTAAAAAATATATTCAATCAATACTTAGATAGATTCCTTTAAGGAATAACATGGATGTGTTAATTTCTTTAAAAGGGTTGTGATATATGGATACAGACAGTTTTCAAATGTACTTCAATACTGAGTCTGCATTCCGTCTACTGTCAGGACACGAAGAATGTTTTGAAATGACCATAAATTAGAAATAAACTTGCTCTCATAGCACAAGAATCTAATAAAAATCATTTTAATGCCCCTTAGTGGTTATAAGGAACATATTGTTTACTCTACCATGCTGAAATGTGTTTTCTTGTTTATAAACTGACTTATGAAATGATAATACCGACATGTCAGTCACAGGGCAATGTACATCTTGTACATGTGTGAACAAATTTGTAGATTATTCTCCTCAGTAATATAAATGGTTGCGAGGGCCGTACACCCCTAAGACTGCAATGGAGGGTTGACACGAGGCTGTTTATGGGTGTGTAACTAGGAGAGAGATTTAGACCTGCTGGTTTATTGTTTTGCAGCACCGGTGTGCTGCTCGAAGCTGGGACGACACACAACATGCAAGTACTACTGTCAGCAGGTAAGAGTCCTTTTACTGTTATAACTATCAGGCAATTCCCAGATGCTCAATGACGCCAGGTAGCTTAATGCCTTGATTTATGGGTTATGAGCCTGTATCTCTCTAGTATCTAACACCAGCTTTGCGAATCAATTATAGCCTTATGTTGTTGATACGAATCAATTTCTGATTGCGAGTTGCCCTTGCGGCCACAAGACAAAGAGGGAGGGTGTCAGCCCCCTAGCCTTGAGGCAGTCCCCTGAGATCGAGGTTGTAGCTGACACTGTATATATGATTTACTGCCGACACAGCTAACATGTACACCAGAATGCGTTGCTTTATGGCAGTTGAAAATGCTCTTGTTTCCCGTATTCTATTGTGGGGAGTTGTGTTCGACGGTGTGTGGCTACTTTCAGCAGTGTGTGGGAATTTAATGTTGTCGTACTTCTCTCCGAACTTTTTTGAAAAGCTGTATGATTTCTATTGGGATTATGTTTTAATCCCACAGTAACCTCGCAGTGGTTTTACAACATGTTGGTCATGCTAGTAGTCATGACATTCTGTTTCAAATTCCTAAACTCTCACTTTTGTATTTTTCATTCTGAAAAAATATATTTTATATAACGAAAACAATTTTTTATTCTTCTTCTTTTCCTGAAATATTTTTGTTCAAAAGGGAAGGAATAAGTGTCGTGTTCAAGCTTCGTCTGACATCAGGTGCTTCCAGTTTCTCATCTCACATGCCTCAAAGAAAAGAGACCTGATACGCATTCAAATTAAATTTCTGTAAAATATCATTTTGTTTGACTGTCGGGATGGGATGTTTTTTGTAAATACGAGCCAGTTTACGAAGACAATTAGTTTTTCCCTAAAGAGCACATTGTTTAGAACTGTCATTACAGTTTGGTATTTCAAGAGCGGTTTATCAAGTTGTCTGTTTGAAAATTGGTTCCTGGAGAATCGGTGAATGAAAGATTTGATATAACCATTGAGAAATTAAGTATATAGCACACTTTGTTTATAACGAACACACTTATAACAAACTGAAGGATTGAATAAACTGATTTTTGGTCCTGGGCATTTGCTGTGTATATGCTGTATATATGCTCTTAATGAACTACATGTATGCTTGTAACAAACTAAAATTAGTGATCCCTTTGAGTTTGTTATAACCATAGTTTACTGTATTTTAGAGGCATTTGAAAAAGAATTATAAGTAAAAGAAATTCTTCACTAAACAATATGTTGAAATCTTTGAAAATTTCTGAAAACATTTTATCAAAGATACTTCATAACTGACCTTAATGTTTGGTTTCTATGTTGTTGGACTGTGATGTTATATGCAGTAGTTTTACTTTCTTTCTAGTGAATTCATTTTATCACAGTCTATTTTCTGGAAGTTTTGGAAATAATTTTTCAGGTTCAGAATGTACAATTATAAATAGAAGAAGAGTGCAAAATCAACAAATGATGTTTACACATCTGGAGCTCTGATCAGCAACCTTGCCAGAAAGACGTGTGTTGATATGTTATGTATTTTTTAAGGCAATTTCTGATAGCTTCATCTTACAGGGACTCTGGCCATAGCTTCCAGGACAGTAAGATAAGGGAATATCATTTATATGCTGGCTATTATTACAGAGGAATAAATACATGTACAACAATGTTTAACATGAAGATATCATATTAGTGGGTTGCTTTAGGTTTTATGGTGTATAGTCATAGAAGTCTTTTCTTATTTAGTTCCGATCTGCTAGAATTAAGGATAGAGAGTGTAGGTGGTGATATTTTCCACTTGGCATGTGTAGGCCACAAAAATGCAGGATTTGATTTGCATCATCATTTTGTGACGAGGGCATTTGATTTTTTGAGATTTTAAACAAGCTGTTTCAAACATCTGTGCACATATACCGTGGACCTGTGATTCTTATGTAGGATGGATGATTGGTAGGAGTATTTCATTTGTAAAGAAACAATTCAGCACTTGTAGTCATTTACTTCATGTGGATAATAATATGATGTGACAGAGCTGGTGATGAGATGCATATTTGTGTAACATATGCATGAAATAAGCTTAAATACGCAGACAAATCGTATCCCAAGCGTATCAAATACGCAACCAAAACTATAAAAATGCTATTGAAATAAAACTAATGTTATGTTACAACTGATGAAGCGATTGTGTATCAGCCAATCGTGAAATTCATTTAACAGTTTCATTCAGTAAAACATGTATACTACTATTCAATAACTTTAAAATGATTTACAGGGTTTATTACAAAAAAAGGTTTTCAAGTTAAAATACCCAAATGTAAAGAAACATGTTGGTAAATGAAATTTGAATACCCACTTAAAACTGGGGATACCCAACAAAAAAAACCATGGGTAAAATATCCGACTAACCGAAAGCTTGGTAGAGCTGTGTGTGACATGGGTTGTTTAGAAGGAGCCGGGAGGGATGAAAAATTGAATAATTATTTAGCATGGCCCTATTGATATTTCACAGAAGATAGATGTTCAGCCTTGGTAGGACTGGGGGATGTCTGCTATATTTGGAGTAACATGCATGAACTTTATGTTTTCCTTATCAATCTGAAAACAGTGCGTAGGCACATGCACATGGATTTAATGTTATCTCCAGTTTGTGTGTGTTGGTTTTGTTCCTGAAATCTGATTGGTCAGTCTAATGCAACGCAAATCAATTGTGTCAGCTTTTGATTCATGAAGGTGTTTGGATAAGAATAATATCCCATCTCTGCCTTATCATGGGTCAGGATTCAATATACACTATATGCAGTAATAAATAATTTTTAAAACTGTGTAAAATCCACAAATGAAATCACCATTCCAAATTACATTGGAGTTGTGTGCAAATAGGAACAATTTAAAAAATACATTAGCATAGCTACACCATGTACAGTAGTTGTAATGTAATTATTACCCTACAGTAGTTGTAATGTAATTATTATCCTACAGTAGTTGTAATGTAATTATTACCTTATGTAGCCTTTTCAACTGCGTACCTGTAGAGATCGTTATTGACTGATCAAATGCTGGCATCACATGCACCAACGCTACTGCAGTGAATAATGCACAAAAGTTCATCACCTCATTGTAACATAGACATTTAACCCTGGAGACAGCACATATGAACTGATGCAAATGAGAAGTCACATGAAACAGCATTTAAGCAGAATTAATTTTTAAAACTGTTGACTCCTTGAATTATAAATAGAACTGGACCCAAGAAATTAAAAAAATATTGAATATGTCAATACCCAATAGGAATGACAACATGTGAGTAAATACTGGATGGTTTAACAAATTTCCGGAGCCCTGGTACAGTGCCAAGGTGTGTTTATTGTGCTTGATAATGATCGGGGCCATTTATAAGTGAGGAATGAATGCCAATGAAATTGTTCAGTTGTGTAGTCAGAGCTGGATTAATTCACGGGCATTGTTATATATTTCCTAAAAATTAACCGCCCTTATACAAGCAGGGTGGGAATAACTGCTTATTAAAATGATAACGGCGATAAGCCACGGAGAAATTGTTGTTGAGAATTGTACATTAGTTAGGCAAGGAGAAATTGTTGTTGAGAAATGTACATTAGTAAGGCATGGAGAAATTGTTGTTGAGAAATGTACATTAGTAAGGCATGGAGAAATTGTTGTTGAGAAATGTACATTAGTAAGGCATGGAGAAATTGTTGTTGAGAAATGTACATTAGTAAGGCATGGAGAAATTGTTGTTGAGAAATGTACATTAGTAAGGCAGGGAGAAATTGTTGTTGAGAAATGTACATTAGTAAGGCAGGGAGAAAGCATTTGGGGAATTGGGTGTTTTGGCAACGTGAGTAAGACACATTGATTGCAGCATAGTATAGGTAAACACCCTTGATCGAGATGATTTGTTGTTTGGCAGCATTTTTCCACCGTTGTTTGGGATACAAAATTCAAATAATTCCAGAGCAGTTTTCAAAGATGCATTAAGGATGTTTTCTGTTCAGCCCACATCAGTGTATCTGCAAGGTAAAATATTACAACCAATTTTCTCCCCACTTTCTCTGACAGATACATCTGTGGGGATGAACAGCAGATAAGAATGTTTGTTTTTTGTTTAAAAAATGTTTAGGAAAAATCCCAATCTATGTCTGGAGATGTTTATGTCTGACTTGTTCAAGATGCAGTCAAGTTAATAACTTGGTGCTCTCGAAAAAAATCCTGATGTTCTGTTTGTCCTATGGGATAAAACATTTCCTGTGGTTGTGGTGTGGGATGTGTGATGTGTGTTTTGTCAAAGGAGGGGGAACTTGTCTGATATGAAGCGCTCGATGTGTCCTCCTACATCAGACCAGTTCTCATCACACAGTTGTCATTTCGTAGAAGACGAGGCGTTTTTTTCTAAATCATGCAGTTACATGGTAATTTGAGATGCAATGCAAACAAGTGAAGAATGGCAGTGTTGGGTTCCAGTTCAGGATGAATGTGATCACTTGTGAGCCTTTCGGTTCGGTATCTGCAACTGTGAAACTTCTAGCATTCTTTAAGACTTTGGATCAAATGGTTTTACAACAGGAGCCTACTCGTATGTATTCCAGGAGACTTAGTGACTATAAGAGCTACGTATACAAGGTGACTGACGATAAGAGCAATACAGCAGGTGACTTTACACACCATCTTCCTATACAGCAGGAGACTTTACACACCATGCATATTCCTATGTACCAGGAGACTTTACACACCATATTCCTATGCACCAGGTGACTTTACACACCATATTCCTATGCACCAGGTGACTTTACACACCATATTCCTATGCACCAGGTGACTTTACACACCACATTCCTATGCACCAGGAGACTTTACACACCATATTCCTATGCACCAGGTGACTTTACACATTATTCCTATGCACCAGGTGACTTTACACACCATATTCCCATGCTCCAGGTGACTTTACACACCATATTCCTATGCTCCAAGTGACTTTACACACCATATTCCTATGCACCAGGAGA